CCGTCAGGAGACGGGCACAGTGACACGCTGTGCCTGCGTGAGATGGATGGGTGGTCTGGAGGATGTGGTCCTGTAAAAACCAGGGCATATACACACACAGCTTATACAATCTTCTCAGAGGAGGCCTTCCAAGGAATCTCTGCACCGCCACCTCCAATCCCTCCAACTACAATGGAAGAGCTACGTTTCCAGACTTTCACGAAGAAATAGCAAGTATTGGGCTTCCTGTGCTTTCCTGACTTGAGACTCACTTGACCAACCAATTGACCACCACGGGAGGGCCGCCTCCCCGGGCCGAATGCTGCACTTCTTCTAGTCATTGACACGCGGATGGCCCCACTTCATTGATTCTCCAACAGGAAATTCCATCAATTGAAATTCCGTCAAAAGACAGACTTTCAGAGTCAAGCTGAGCCCAGAGAGTGGGTTACCAAGGTCACTGATAAAATCGTTCACTGCAGCCCAAATTTACCTGAGAGTTCTTGCAAAGTTCTCACTTAGGTTGACCATGTGTAGATCTGCAGTTAAGCCAAAGTTAACCTAGGCTTGTGGTAGTAAAAAATACTAGAGAAAGTCCAAGGACGCAGTCTTTCCAACCTGGTCTCCTGAGTCTAAATGACACGCTGGTGTCAGAAATGCTTTGGGGAATTGGTGAAAGGCTAGATTTCTCTACCTAGACTCTTTCTTCCTCTCAACTCTTATACTAAGTGAATCAACCCACATATTAAAAATGTAATAAGTTACGGATATTTATGGATAATTTTACAGCTAAAATGTAGAAATAGCATGGTCAGATTATTTTATGAAAGAGCCGAAACACATAGTAAATTAAGATTGATTTGCATGAAATGTTGCAGACATCCAGATGATATTAAAAAAAGGAAACCAACTTTGTTTGAACTCTGTAGCTGTTAGATTAGATTATCCCCCTTTGTCTGTACTCTACTCCTGTTCCCAATTTAACACCTGTAAATTGGCATGGAAATTGTATATAAAATGCACATTTCATATTGCAAATGTAGGAAGTTCAAATTGTGTGAGAGTCACAATTTTATTAGAAATTCTTCAGCTCTTGCCTTTCCCCAGCCTTGAAAATATGGGCAATCCATTTTCTACTATATCGTTTCTTTTTTGTGCCTCATAGTGTTTGGCAATAGTCAACAAAGGTGGTCAGGAGAGCCCGGGGCATTGGTAGGACCATAAGCCATGGTGAAGAGATGGAACAGATTGAGTTTGGACTTAATAGTCTTCTAATTCACTATTTAAAATTAAGTTCTTGCCCTGAGGAATTCTCCACGTTTCTGTTGAACAAATAGACAAACTGAGGGAGCCCCCTGGTAGCTCCGGTGATTCTAGACTCTTGAGATAAATGGTCGGCCAGGTCAGGGAAGGTGGGGCTGGCTTCTCTAACGTAAGTAGGTGGACTCTCACGGGCTGTGGTTTAATGTCTCGTTATATTAGCTTTCTTCTTTCCACAAATTGACTTGCTGATTCACTGCTAAAAGAATCGAAAAGCTAAGGTGCCAATCAGAGAAATTATTTCCCAGGGGCACTTATGTACAGATTCTTCCAAAATGTTTCAGGAACTGGGGTTTTCCAGCAGGAGTGGTGAGACTTTGAAATCATTCTTGCCAATGTGCCTTTGCTCTTTTCTACTTTCTTGCCTGCTCTCTCTCTCTCTCTCTCTCTCTCTCATTTGCTGAGGTGCAGGAGTACGGAATCAGATTCCCACAAAATGCAGGGACACGTCTTTGAGTGTTACAGGGAGCTGGCCAGGCAGAGCTGCAGCGTGGGAGCCCTGCCTCGGAACGGGGCACTCCACCATCAATCAGGAGAGTGGCTTCTGCTCTTTAATCCTGTATCTCAGACGGTGTGACATAGGGATCACCCTGAGAGAAAGTTGTCACTGCCAGATTCCGGGATCCACTGCTCTCATTTTTATAAATCCATGCAATTAGCTATGACTTTAAATTGGTACCATGGTGAACGAGCATGTCTTAAGCATACATGCCAAGTATTACAAGCCATTTTTCAATAACTTCAGCTTCCTCAGTTCCAAAACCTTGGATCTCACTCCAACTCAGCATCCACTATTATGTTCTGTGTCTCCATTATATTAGATTCGCGGGAGGTTAATGAGAAGCACAGCATATAATTCACATGAATAGGCTTTGAAAGCTAAGTGTGATGAAAAGTATTATTATTACTATTTATTATGCAAAGTCCTTGCAGCAAAAATTACATTATCCTTTTTCCAAATATATCGTGAACCTATTGCTGAGCTGGAGTTCAGATCTAGGCTTTCTCGAAACTCCATCTGTGATGCTTGCTCTTACTTCATAAACTTCCCTGGGTATGAACACACTTAGGGTTTCTTTTCTCCCAAATGCCCCAGGCAGTTGACAGGTGGATAATGACATCAACAGGCAGGTGGCCATCAAAGACCCAGGATAGGTGTGTTTTTGTGAAACCCCAGATGGTTGATTTCTGTATGATACCTCTCCATAAATGTGAATTTCCCATTCTTTATTTCTTAATTTTAATAAATCACTATTTAAATAACAAAACTTAACATTCAATCATTATTTTAAAGATGACTTTGTAAAACAACTCAAACAGATGACGGCAAAACTTCCAACTAATTTGTATCTTTTCCCCACTTTTCTACCATATGATCAACTTCCAGTTCAAGGCTCATTTTTTCTCTGGCATTTGTCACATCTGTTGAGCTTCCCAAGAGCATCTCTCATGATCAGTTCATGGTCAAGGGCTAGTCATGGCTTCAGCTATTCACCTGGAAGGTCTTTGGTGACCGAGTGTTGATTTACACCTCCACAGACGTGTGGTAGGAGAGAGGCAAGGAAGAAACTGACGGGGAATCCTGCTGGAGCAGTCCTCCACTGTGCAGTTAAGAAGTGGTCATTTCCACTCCGTTCTTACGAGTTCCCACCACCTCTTAGTTCCTTAATTTTGCTAGGTAGCCCTAGGGGGCAGCCAGATTTGTGTATTAAGCTCATTTTTTGTGTGTCTTTACTGTTGGCAACAACCTGAATCCAAAAACTACTTAACAAAGAAAAGTCTGGGCAAAATGTAGACAACTCTTACAACAGGCCTTTACTATCATTTGATCACACCATCCATCAACTGACGCTAATCTTCAACTGACAGTCACCTGGTCTTCCAGGGCAGGTTCCGGTAATGCAGTATAGCTTTAGCATAACTTCAGAACAAGAAATCCCAGTGGATCGTAGCTATCTACTTATAAATTATAATTTTCCCCTATGTAGAAGAAAATATTCAAGACCTATATAATTCACATACTTAGAAAAGAAAACAGCTTATTTTTTTCCCTCTCTCACGTTGCCTGGAGGTAAAAAAAAAAAAAAAAAAGCTAAACGGATAATATCTTTCAACACTGAATTGATTTCTCAGCTTAATTTAAGCAAAGAAATTATGTGCCAGATGGCATAATCAACATGTTCTGTTGAAAGATTGCAATTTTATTCTTATAAGAAAAAATAAGCGTTTCTCCACGTGGTCTACGCAGCAGGGAAGAAAGTTTATATATGCTGCCTCTAACAATGCCATCTTTGACGAGGGAAAAGACAATAGCTTTGAATGTATTCACTGATCTGTTTGGAAAGCAGAAATGGTGCTTTGTTTTATTCTGCCAAAAGTATTACATGAGACCTATGGTAAGTAACGGGAAAAAGAACTATTAAAATGAATAGTCATGAATATAGTAAAATTTATCTTTGCACAGTTGGGCATTTTAAAGATTTTCTGAAGTGCATTTTATTTCTAATCACGAAATAACTGTATTCATTCAATATCCTGAACCACGGTGCTATAAAATCTGAATATGCCCTTGGCTCCCCCCTCCCAGGGAGGTCATTAAAAGATTTGCCTATCTTGGGGGAGATGGGAACTGCCTGTTTTCACAACTCATTCCATTTTTATGTGACATTTCTATTCCCTACACTTCCATAAAGCACTTTGCTAAGAAACTCGGCCATGAGCTAAAGAGAAAAGCACGATGTTTATAAGAAGGAAGAGTCCGAACAGCTCACTGATACAAGCGTTTGAGCACTCAGAGTTGCAAGGAGAGACAAGGAAAGGGGAAGAGGGAAGGAGGAGGGTAGAAGAGAGGAGAGGGAGTCACCAGCTCATAGAGAAAGAAAAGCACAGGTAAAATAATCGTGACTTTGCTTCTGAAAAATGAGCCCAGGCATGGTGGCTCATGCCTATAATCCCAACACTTAGGGAGGCTGAAGCAGGAGGATTGCTTCAGCCCAGGAGTTTTGAGACCAGCCTGGGCAACATAATGAGACATCCTCTCTACAAAATATTTGTTTTTTTAGGTAGCCAGACACGGTGACACCACTGGTGGTCTCAGCTACTGGGAAGGCCGAAGTGGGAACGTTGCTTGAGCCCAGGAGGCTGAGGCTGCAGTGAGCCTAGATGGAACCACTGCACGCCAGCCTGAGCAACAGAGCAAGACCTTATCTCAAAACAAAAAAAGAAGAAGGTTGCCTTGCCTATGACAGGTAAATTATAGATAGAAAATATGGGGATCTCTCTGATTACTTTAGAACAATTTTTGTTTTTTAAAGACAAGGTTTTGCTCTCTCACCCAGGCTGGAGTGCAGTGGCATGATCACAGACCATGAGACTCATTGCAGTCTCAGCCTCCAGGTTTAACTGATCCCCCCACCTCAGCCTCACAAGTAGCTGGTATGTGCCACCATCCCTGGCTAATTTTCTTTTCTAACTTTTATTTTAGGTCCAGGAGTATATGTAGAGGTTTGTTACACAGGTAAACCTGTGGTACGAGGGTTTGTGGTACAGATTATTTCATCATGCCAGTATTAAGCCTAATACCCAACAGATATTTTTTTCTGCTTCTCTCACTCCTCTCACCCTCCACCCTCAAGTAGGCCCCAGGGTGTGCTCTTCTCCTCTTTGTTTCCATTGGTTCTTGTTATTCAGCTCTCACTTACCGGTGAGAACATGTAGCATTCGGTTTTCTGTTCCTGCATTAGTTTGTGAAGAATAATGACCTCCAACTCCATCCATGTTCCTGCAAAGCATATGATTTCATTCTTTTTAATGGCTGCATAGTATTCCATGGTGTATACCTACCACATTTTTTTAATCCAATCTGCCATTCATGGGCATTTAAGTTGACTTCATGTCTTTGCTATTGTGAATAGTGATGCAATGAACACACGTGTGCATGTCTTTATGACAGAATGATTTATAGTCCTTTGGGTATATACCCGGTAAAGAGATTGTTGGGTTAAATAGTTCCATTTTTAGCTCTTTCAAGAAGCCCCACACTGCTTTCCACAATGGGTGAACTAATTTACACTCCCACCAACAATGTATAAGCGTTTCCTTTTCTTTGCAACCTCACCAGCATCTGTTAGTTTTTTACTTTTTTGTAACAGCTATTCTGACTGGTATTTCATCATAGTTTTGATTTGCATTTCTCTAATGATTACTGATACTTAGATTTTTTTCATATGCTGGTTGGCCATATGTATGTCTTCTTTCAAAAAGTGTCTGTTGATGTCCTTTGCCCACTTTTTATTGGGGTTGTTTTTTTCTTGCAAATTTGTTTAAGTTCCTTATACATGCTAGATATCAGGCCTTTGTCAAATACATACTTTGCAAAAATTTTCTCCCATTCTTTAGGTTGTCTGTGTACTCCGTTGATGGTTTCTTTTGCTGTGCAGAAGCTCTTTAGTTTAATTATACCCCATTTATCAACTTTTGCTTTTGTTGTGACTGCTTTTGGCATCTTCATAATGAAATCTTCGCCAGTTCCTATGTCCTGAATGGTACTGCCTAGGTTGCCCTCAATATAATAAGAGCCATCTATGGCAAACCACAGCCAGTATCATACTGAATGGGCAAAAGCTGAAAGCATTCCCCTTGAAAACTGGCACTAGGCAAGGATGCCCTCTCTCACCACTCCTATTCACCATACTATTGAAAGTCCTGGCCAGGGCAATCAGACAAGAGAAAGAAATAAAGGGCATCCTAACAGGAGGAAAGGAAGTCAAATTATCTCTGTTTGCAGACAATATGATTCTATATCTAGAAAATCCCACTGTCTCAAACCAAGAGCTCCCTCAGCGGATAAACAACTTCAGCAAAGTTTCCGTATACAAAACCAGTGGACAAAAATCAGTAGCATTTCTGTACACCAACAACAGCCAAGCTCAGAGCCAAATCAGGAAGGCAATACCATTCACAACTGCCACAAAAAGAATAAAATACCTAAGAACACAGCCAACCAGGGAGGTGAAAGATCCCTGCAATAAGAATGCAAAGCACTCTTCAAAGAAACCAGGGAGGACACAGACAAATGGAAAAAATGTCCATACTCATGGATAGGGAGATTCAGAAGCTACTGATTAGGAGTTTCAGTGGAAAAGTGGGGTCTGAAGCCATACCATCCTCTTTCCATGCCCATAGGTCCCATTCAATTGACAGGCGTTACACGTTTCACGTGGCTCAAAGATCAGTGATGCCCTTATCGAGGGTCATCTTTCCATTGAAGACTAGCCGTGTTCGCTCCCTCAGTCTAAACTGAACTTTGCAGCATCAGGCATGTCCTTTTCTTCTTTCTGATGGAACTCATCATGTTCTAAACCCTGTGGGACTCAAAACTTAGTTCTCACATCAAGAGCATCACTTGGAAACTTGTTAGAATACAGATTTTCTTCCACTCCCCAGACTTTATGAATCAGAAACTCTGGGATGGGGCCCAGAAATCGTGTTTTATTGAGCCCTCTAGCAGATTCTAATGCAATCTAATGTTTGAAGCCCACTGCTCTAAATGAGACCTAAGGAAGGACTCAGCCATGCTACAAAGGCAAGGTACTGGGCAAGGCGGCAGGCACAAGAACACATAGGAAGGCCAAATCCTCATGCTCATCATCTTGCATTCTAGGGAGGGTATTTGTGGGGACATGTAGGAGATGGGCACATGCTAACTTTCAATAAAAAACTGAGAAAGGTTGACCTCGGACCCTTGGATAATCCATGAATGTTTCAGGCATCAAATGGTTCTAATTTAAGGATAAGGATTGAAAGTATGGAGTCCTTGTAGCTCTGAAAATCCCACAGGACAGTGGCTAAAATTCTAATTGTCAGGATAAGTTCTGTGGTTCTGAACTGACCTGTGGTTTCACAAGAGAAATACCCACAGCTGTAAAAGGAAACCACGAAGATCTGGAAACTGCCTGCAGAGGTCAACAGAGCCACAATATATTCTACAAACCATCCTAAGGAACCACAGAAAATCATCAAAAGAAAGAAAAATGCATTTCTTGGCTTGGAACTTATTGAATGTTTAAAATCAGTGAATGCAGTGGGTAAGAAAGGAAAGACCTCATTGGCTTTTTTTCCATAGAGAAATGGCAGTCGGATTCTACGTATTCCCTTCCCACTAACGCTGCTCGATAGCAGAATACCAAAGAGGAGTTTCTTTCAGAATACATCATTATTGCATTTTGCATTTTGATTTCATTTTTTCACCTCAAAAGACTTCAGGAACTTACACACCTCTGCTAAAGCTTAACAATATTCATCTTTTTTGTTTAACAGATGTGCTTTTACAAAAGAAATGTTCAAGTAAGGAGAAAACTTCAGTGGTCTAACTTTAGCTTTCTGATCATTACCCTTAAATTCGCTGCCTAGGAAATAGCAACAAGTAAGTAATCATTGTTAGGAAGCAAAACTGTTGACGTTTGGTTTCAGGCTGGCCTCCTGAGGAAAGGGCTCTGGAGCTTCCTTTGCGCGCCTGGAAAGGCCTTTGCACGCGCCCCCTAGTGGGTGCTTGGAGCTCATAAGCAGAGGGTCATTTCCAAAGTCTGCAGTGGAAATGGACGCGGATTTTCAAACCCAAAACTCGGTCTATTGCTATTCTCCCCAAAAGGGACATTTTTCTCAATCTGCTATAAATATAGTGAAAGGCTGTTACTTTGTGGTAAATTTTTAGTGCCATATTTGAATAGTCATTACATTCATTAAATTATTCTTTAAAATTACAAACATAATGTTAGTACTTGCATTATACCTCATGTTTATATAGTACCACCAAAGTCAAACGGCATTTAATATTCACAGCATAAAAGATAAAAGTATCAGATAGTGATATTAGGAGGAAAAATCCTCCTGATAGCATTAGGAGAACAATTTCTGCTAATGGAGAAAACCTCCATTCCCTGGCGTTAGCTTTTTCAGCACTAGCACGTGTGCTCCGTGCCCCACCTCACCCAGCCGGGGACAGCCCAGCTTTCCTGACAGGCCCCGTCTCCTGCACCACCAGTTGGAAGGCTTCATTCCCGGCAGGAGATAAGCAAGCCTTGCTCTAGTTCAGCATCAATAACTCCTCTTTTCACCCCACATCCCTTGGAGATTCCCTACCCCCACGTCTCTACTCTTCTCCACAAAACTTTCCACCTCTGGCCTCACCTTCTCTCTTGAACATGCTCTGGTGAAAGCAGTTTTCATCTTCATGGCTCAGCGAAAATGGCGCTTTTCAAAAGCACCAGCGACTTTCTTCCGGCCAAATCCAGTGCTCCATCTGGGCCCTTTACTTACTTCCTAAGCGGTATCTGTGAACGCACTGGCCGATCTCCCTTTCTGTAACATCTAGTGCTAACATCATGTGACACATAACAAAACTTTAGTCAATGACAGACTGCATCTATGATGGGGGCCCATAAGATAACAAGATACCATATTTTCACTCTGCCTTTCTATGTCAAGATACACAAATACCATTGTGTCGCAATTGCACATGCTGTGCAGGTTTGCAGCCCAGAAGCAATAGGCTGCACTAGAATGTCCGATCTTTCGGCTTCCCTGGGCTACACTGGAGGAACTGTCTTGGGTCCTACATGAAATACACGAACACTAATGATAGCTGGAGAGCTAAAAAAAAAAATCGTAAAAAAAATAATGTGTTAAGAAAGTTTACAAATGTGTGTTAGGCTTGCATTCAAAACCATCCTGGGCCACGAGCAGCTGCAGTCAGCAGGCTGGGCAAGCTAGGGCTGTGTCAGGTTTGTGAAAGTTCACTCTGATGTTCACACAACAACAAACCATGTGCATGATGAATTTCCTGGAGTGTGTCCCCATCACGAGGTAACGCACGACTGTATCTGCAACCCATCCAAGCTAAACTGTAGCTCTAAAACGACACACCCAAACCTGCTTCTCTCAGTTCATGGTACCACTGTCCTCCTCGACACTTAAGGCCCCTCTTTCACTCACAAACATCTTCCACCTAACAGCAAATCCCAGCAGCTTAACTGCCCAAATAAACTCTGAGCCTTCCATCCCCTGCCGATTCCTACTGCTGACACCCCAGTGTAGCAGCCACACCTCCGCCCTCAGCAGCCAGGACCACCTTAAAATAGAGATAAAATCTCATCATCTCCCAGTTCACAATTTCCCAGAGGCCACCAGTCTAATTAGGATAAAACGCACCTCCCATGGCCAAGAAGATGCTATATCTAGCGCTTCTTAGTCACTACACCTGAAATCCCTCTGACCCTGCCTGTAGGCTCCATCCATCTTATCCACTTTTGCAGGAGCAGTTTCCTCTACATGGGCTGTTATTCCCCTGCATGGCCAGCTCCCTCTCATCTTTCGGGAGAGGAGTCCTCACCTGACAGGACAGGAGTCCTGTCACTTCCTCTGTGCACTTATCTGACGGTGCTACCAGCAGCACCCCTTCCCACCATCCCACTGCCCTTTTCAGAATCTTCACAGCACCCCTCTCTATCCTAAATCGTCTCATTGACTTGTGCCTGTGTTAAGTGTCTCCACCCAGCGGGATAGAAGCTCAACAAAGTCAGAGACATATTTGTGCTTATGCAACATTATTGAGCAAATCAATGAATGAATAAATTCCACTCCCTGTGCCAAATGGCCACTGTGGCTGCCAGGGCTCACTCTTCCCAGCCTGTCTCTGGGTTTACAGCTTGTTTCTGTCTTTCAATACTCCTGTGGTGTTTAAGAACCTGCACCCACAATGAGCATCTTCTTCCAATTTTCTCCAGTTCTCCAACAGGTGAAGGGCCTTGGAGGGAAGCTCTGACTCCAGTTAATCCTGTTCCTGGCTCTGGTCCTAAGACAGACGACTTGGAAAGAGTGTAGGGAGCGGGCTGATTGGGGCAGACATGAAACCAGTATGAAGACTTTTGCCACGGTGCAGGAAGAAGGTAGTGAGCGCCTGAATGAGGGCACCAGCAGTGGGGTTGCTGGAGAGGGAAGAGATTAAAGAGGTGTCATGGAGGTCACATCATTCAAATAGGTATGTGACGTGAAGTGTATTAGTCAGCTCCAGCTGCTGTAGTAAAGTACCAAAGACAGGTTGGCTACAACACGTTTTTCCGTTCCAGAGGCTGCAAGTCAGAGATCGAGATCAAGGTAGGCACGCCTAGTTTCTTCTGAGACCTCTCCTTGTCTTGCAGATGGCACCCCTTGCTGTGTCCTCCCATGGCCCTCATGCCTCTCTCTCTTCTTATAACAACATCAGTCCTGTTGGATCAAGGCCATACCCTTCCAACCTCATTTAACCTCGGTTACCTCCTTATAGGTCCCATCTCCACAAAGACTCACTTCAACATGTGAATGTTTGGGAGACATAATTAAGTCCATAAAGGAAGGGACAGGTTAAGAAGCATTAGTGGGCCAGGCACGGTACCAAATGCCTGTAACCCCAGCACTTTGGGAAGCCGAGGCAGGCAGATCACCTGAGGTCAGGAGTTCGAGACCAGCCTGGCCAACATGGTGAAACCCCATCTCTATTAAAAATACAAAAAGTTAGCTGGGCACAGTGGTGGGTGCCTGTAGTCCCAGCTACTCAGGAGGCTGAGACAGGACAATCTCTTGAACCCAGGAGGCAGAGGTTGCAGTGAGCTGAGATCATGCCATTGCACTCCAGCCTGGGCAACAAGAGTGAAACTCTGTCTCAAACAAAACAAAACAAAACAAAACAAAAAAGAAGCATTAGTGAGGAGTTCCAAATTACACGATTTGTCTGATTGCTTTTCATTGCTACTGCAGATGTATTTATTGTGCACGTTCATGTTAAACACATGGGATCATTTTAGAGGAACACTTTCTGTTACCTGGAGGTCATCATCTGTAGATTGGTTTTAGGACACAGAATCTCTCCATTTCCAAATCACATCCACAAATCCGTTTGTGCCAACTCATGCACCATTCAGGTGAGTGTGCCACTCAGTGTCACTAGTGTTAACCAACAGAACCATCACTGCTGACTCTGATTCCTTCCTGAAAGAACAGGGAGGGAACAAGAAAACCATGGGCCTTACCGCAGTGCCAACATGAAAATGAAGAGTTTGGAAAGCTCACGCTTGCACGCATCCAGGCGAAGCACCCTGGTGGCTGCCTTTACAATACACCGTCTGCACTTCCTCACCTGCCTGCTCTCCACGCCCACTCCGCAAAGGCTTCTGACCTCACACAACACTGAACCCTCTTGTACAAGTTGGCAGCATCCATGGCCAAGCCTCCAAACTTTACTGGACTTCGTGAGTCGACCTTGCCTCTTTCTTGAAGCACTATTTCTCTTAGAAAATGAACACTTTATTCCCTTCAACATTGTTGGCCCTCTCTTTTAACTCCCTTTGCTGACTCTTCCTACTTTCCCCAAGCTCTCAATGTTCCTGATCCCTTTCAGGAGTCGTGTACTTTAAAGATCACATCTATATTTCCAGTTCCTTTTTCCCTGGGACCTTCAGATTCCTATGTCTGGCTCAACACCTCTGTGTGTAAGTCTGATAAACATCGTAAACTGAACACTTCCAAAACAGAATTGCTAAGATTTTCCCCAAAATTCACTCCTCCTCCAGTCTTCTCCATCTCAGTAAATGTCACCAAATTCACCTAATTGCTTAATTCACCAATAATAATTACTAATACATATATTCTTATTGGAGGCCAGGTTCTGTTCTAAACACGTGTGTGTGTGTGTGTGTCCCGTGCACACTCACAATCCCCTGTTGAAGGAGATACTATGATCATCCCCATTTGACAGACGAGCACAGACAGGTTAAACACCTTGCCCAAATTTACACAGCGAGTAAGGAGCAAAGACAGGACTTGAACAACATAGGCTCTTATCATCTCCTAACGCTAGGGTTAGGGTTAGTCTTTGCTTGTAAGCACTATGCTAGAATAGTTTATCTTTTTTCTCACCCTCCCCACATTCACTCCATCAGCAAGGTCCCCAGTTCTACCTGCAAAGCACAGCTCAAATGCACCTGCTCCTCACATCTGCCTCCACTCCTTTCCGAGCCATCACTGTTGCAGGCCTAGGCTAATGCAAATGCCTGTGAATTCTTCTCCCTGTTTCAGACTCTTGCAACCCTATAGCCGATCTCTATACACACAAATCATCATCTTCTCCCCTGCCCACCACAATCCCAGAATTCCATGCAAACTCCTCATCTGCAGCCTGTGGGATCCGGCCTGACCTGCTTCCTGTATAGCTCATCCACCTCCACCCCATTGCTCTTGCCCTCTCTTCCTGTGATTGCCTGGAGGACCACTTTGCTCTTCCCGATCACATTCATGGATCCCTCGGGGCCTTTGCTCTTGCTGGTCCTTTCCACTTAGAACACTTCCCTCCTTCCCTAAATTCTCACGATTTTCTCACTTCATTAGGTCTCTTCCCAAATGTCATCTCCCTCAGATGTTTCGCACGACCTCCATGTGAAGTAGGCCCCCTGCCCTCCGGTGAGCCTTTGTCTCCTCCCCTCGCTCTCTGCTTTCTCAGTGGAATGCTCCCCCATCGGGCGTCATATTAACTATGCGTGTGCTCATTATCGCTCTCTCCCTCCGGAACGCCTGTGCTACCTGGGCAGGGAAGAGTGCTGCCTCGTTTCAGGTTCCTCACTAGAGCCTAGACCTGCGTCAAGCACATAATTAGAGCTCGATCCACGTGTATTGAATGAATGAATCTGCTGTTTTCTGGTTTCACGTTTTCCATGTTGGGCTTCCTTTCTGCCTTCGTTTCTAAGGGAAGCGTCTCGTAGGCAGTGGAGGCGCGCACTCAAGTGACATGTGCACCGGCTCTCCCCACCCAGACTCCACTCATTCCAGTGCAGACTGCAAGTGCTGCCTGCCCACCTCCTGGCTTCGTCGGCCCCTAAAAACCTTCCCCGCCAGGCAGATGCCATGCTCCCTTTTCTGTGGTGAGAATTACCTAATGATAATAATTATCATGGCTGTTTTACAACTGGCATAAAAAGAATTCATGCAGACGATGTTGTCTTTGAACATTATAACAGGATAAACTATTAAAAGCATAACCACAAGAAAATACTAGAGCCAGAACTGGAGAACCACAGGGTAACAATAGGACACACGGTGCTTTCCAATACTTCCAACTACTGCTTTGTGTCACCTCCTTTCAGCCATGAGGAGCATGCTCTGAAAGACGCCAGCCCCATGAGCAGCTGGGGCCTGTGATAGTGACCGGGAACACGCACTCTCTGCCTCAGCTTTTGGTGGCCATCTCTCATTGAAGGGCTCCAGGGCGTGCGGTTCAGTTTCATAAGCAATCCTGGGTCTGGGTAAACATGCTTGACTGATTAATGATAACAGCTCTTAAAACACCACAGACGTTTCCAGTGCCCAGAAATGTTTATTTTTTATACTAAATTAAATTCATTTTCCTTCTCATTCCCTCTAAGGAAAATGGCGACAAATTTAAATTCAGAGTGGACTGCTATATTGAAGATGGCCATGTGCCGCAACCTCTAAACAGGCTATGGTTTCGGACTGTGTTTCATCAGGAGGATGGTGGGAGGGGGAGATTCAAGGGCTGGGAAGGAAAGAGGAAAGCCCTGGGTGAGCATGGTACCAGCGAACATGAGCACTGAGCACGGAGCCGACTGTGCTGCTCGCAGAAGGAACAGTAACTATTTTGTATTTACCAAATATAGTCATGATCAAGGGCAACTATGTAACAACTTAAAATATCGTCAAAAATCAAATAAAAGCCAAGTCAATAAAAAATAATTAGGCCGGGCGCGGTGGCTCAAGCCTGTAATCCCTGCACTTTGGGAGGCTGAGACGGGCGGATCACGAGGTCAGGACATCGAGACCATCCTGGCTAACACGGTGAAACCCCGTCTCTACTAAAAAATACAAAAACTAGCTGGGCAAAGTGGCGGGCGCCTGTAGTCCCAGCTACTCGGGAGGCTGAGGCAGGAGAATGACGTAAACCCGGGAGGCGGAGCTTGCAGTGAGCCGAGATCCGGTCACTGCACTCCAGCCTGGGCGACAGCGCGAGACTCCGTCTCAAAAAAAAAAAAAAATAATAATAATAATAATAATAATTAACTCATCATCATGAAGAATAATTTCTTCTAGCACATAATAAATACTTATTTATGATGGAAAAAGGAAAGGAAACCAATATTTAAGGCACCTGCTTGTGCCATGCACCACGTTGCAGACAAGCAGAAAACATTATCTCCATCAAGCACCTTAAAAACTGAAGCTTAGAGTGGTTAATTTTCCCAAGGCAATAGAGGGCAGAACTAGTAGCTAATCCACAGCCCCATTTTCCATCTGTTTACGCATGTCTACACTGCCTCCAGTGACGACGTTGACAGTAGATACTTTTTATATGCAGTGTCTATTTATTTTATTTCTATAAATCATTCTGGCCATTTTGTGCTTATAAATTAATTACCTCTCTTTAAAAGCTATATTAGACTATATTAGTCATAGCATCCTGACCGATTTGGGTTTTTCCACCACCATGGCTCAGGTAATTCCCACCAGCTGTAAGTGGTCCAGTGGAGAGATCCTTCCAGAAAAGCACGCTGTCCACGGACAGCTGCCCCTGGTTTCTGAGGTTTAAAGCTCAGCCGTACGATTCAGAAACATGCACAGACCGTAGAAGGAGCTGGGGCGGGAAGACACATTCACATTATTGTGAATATCATTTTAAAACTGAGCTGAAATAAACAAGGGTTTGCAAATCAATTTCAAAGGATAATTACATGTTGCTTCTTCTCATTTTTTTGTGACTAAATTTTTGCGAATTTAGTCACACATGGATCTGCAGAGGCACCCACGTCACAAATAAAACAGGAAAACGCACAGCACAGCCGCGAACCCTCTTCCAAAGGAAAGCATTTGACTCGCTGTTCAGGGGAGGCCATTACACATTTTGGGTGAGTCATGATGATGATTTTGATTTTTCTGCGTGTTGAAGACAGGCATATAATTCCTTCATTTCGGAAAACGGGCATATTTTCTACATTTTAAGATTGAGGCAGGCTGGCCATATTTATTGATTTATTCCTCAATAAACATTTGTTGCATTCCCATTTGTGTCAGGAACTGTGCTCAGCTTCAGGGTAACAGTTCAGCAAGACCCTCACCCTGCATTTGAGTAGCTCAGTGTCCAGGACAGAGAACACGGACAAACGTGGATGAGTTATCCTTACACACGATTAGTGCCAACGTATCAGTAAAATGCTACAAGCCATCAAAGACTAGGTAGACACAGGTGTGGTGACCCAGAGCAACCTCCTCTCCTTCATAAAACAAAAACAGAAAACAAAATACCTGGCCTAACCTAGTAAACATAATTATATAGCTAGCATTCAATTCTTTGGGTTAAGGCTTTTTCTGCTGTTAAGAGGAACATGTTCCTGTAAGAAGTAATAAAAACTGCACTACCAACTTTCTGAAACATCCCAGGCCTTTCTGTTCTAATGTCTCTGATCACAATGGGCTTTTACCACAAATGGCTGTTTCCCGCTATCTCTGAAAGTCAAATTCTTATTCATTCTTCAAAGTCCAGTAGAAAAGCCGCCTCCCCAGATAAGCTCTGCACGCCCTGGGCCTGCTTTCTCATAAGTACGTGCCCTTCTGGCCTATGTCATGGCTACGTTTTCTGATTTTTTCTTTAGGAACACATGGCTCAGGTTGAGGCTATCTGAAGTTACCAAAAACAGAAAGAGAGAAAGCACATCTGCATCCTTTTTTTCTGGAGAGCCTCTCCCACCTGGACAGCTAAGTTGGGGCCCTGAATTTCAAATGAAAGCCCCTCAAGGCGTGGGTACACCCGGCCACGGCAGGACAGCAGGGTCCACGGCTTTCCAGGTGCGCCCTTCTGTGTCCGCACCCCGCCTGGGAAAAGACCAGTCCATCCACGGAGCCCTGGAGCACACGGCACACGGGCGTCTTCCGTCCATGAACCCAAACTAGGATCCCAGCGCACATGAGGGTCCTAAGTAAGGTGAAACTGCACAGAACGGAACAATACCTGCTCTGTTTTGGTGACACGACGACGTATCAGTCTGCTGAGGCTGTGTTAGGCTGCAGTTACAAGCAGCTCTGAAATCCCAGGGGCTTCCTGCAACAGAGGCGGCTCTCAGTCCTATTACAAGCATCTTAGCTGTGGCTGAAGAGGCAGTCTTCATTCAGATGAACGTGGATGCCCTGGAAGGAAAAAAAGAAAAGGCAGACAGCTTCTGTCGCACCACGGCACAGGTCACTTCTGCTCTCATTCCACTCTCAAAGCAAGTCAGGGCCAAGGCTGACGTTAGTGGGATGAGGGTGTGTCATTCTCGCAGTGGGAGAAGCCTGTCAGAGGGGCAGTGAATATTTTAACAGCAATTTCATCTACCACAACATGTGAGAAAGATTTGGATATTGACGCAATCCAGAAAGAGCACCGGAGAGACCAGCAGATTTCTATGGAGTTTTAGTGGAAATCCGCTCATGTCATTGGCTGGTTCTAGGCCTTAACGTTCTCATCTATGAAATCAGAGGTTTGGTCTGTGTGGTGTCAAGATCCTTTCCAGTTCTGACACCGAGTCCAAAGCCTTGCAGGGTGGTGATTTATTTTGGTATTTTATCAAGTGCCAGTATCATTTCTATATTTCTCAGAGACCTCAACAAGTAGGGTGCTTGGAAACATCTGCACATTTGCTGAATAAATCAGTTAAACCCCATGAATAACTTACATGGGTATGAATTCATTAGATAATTTTCTGGAAGCCGCTGGATGGACGGAAGGTCCTAACAAACGCCAAGAGCTGCAGGTATGGTGGTGAAAAGACAGAAGACAAGAAGAGAAGCAGAGAGCGGCACCTGAGGGCCAGAGGGGCCGGCTGGAAGGGCCACGGCTATCCACGCTCCACAGGCTGCTCCTCCCAGAGCTGCCCTGGGATTGGTCACAGTTCTTGATTTCTCTGTGGCTGGAAATTCCTTAACTTACAAAATCTCAAGCCATGTATATTTTGAAACTACTGTAAATGGAAAGAGGTTTTTTTTTTTTTTTTTTCCTGTTCCTTGCTTTGTATTTGAAACCTAGATAAAAAACACACTCTCAAATCATTAGAATTCAGTGATAGGAAATGCTGTAGTATTGTACAAAAATGAAATTCCTGATTTTACTCTGAAAAGGAAACGACAGCCTTTTTAACCTAACAAAATAGTCGATTTGCCAAGAAAATGTGCTCAACTGGAAGAAGCTGGCTAAGAAGAAATATACAGTCAGTGCTTTTGTTCCCATTCATTCCACCTTTGTGAGGTGATAAGAATTTTTCTTAATCTCTCCCATGATTTCCACAGATACACAGCACTGCTAACTGAAAAAGTACAAAGCATAATTTGAATTTCATATTTGCTGTTTGGCTGGAGTGATGGCTCTTCATCTTCTCTTCACCCAGGCCATTTTTCCTGCCCACAAAATCAGCTTGGAGAGCTTGCTTGTGAGTTTCCTTCCTTTGCAACTGTGGTCCATACTCGCTACTCAATTAGTTCATTTCTTGGTTCTAAGAATAAATAGAATGTGTATATTTACTTCTTGTTTACCAATGCAACCTGAAGGTTTTAGAAGTAAAAAAGGTTTAGGCTCACAACAGATAAAATGTATCCCAAATAATCATAGTTGTCTGTTTTGTAAGCTGGGACACCACCGTGCTGCCGAAACACCCAACCTCGTTGTCCCCTCGTCTTAAGTTCACCCTGAGGAGCTGGAAAGCTGCAGACGCTGTCGTGACGATCTGAGAAGCGAAACAGAAAGCAAGTGAGGGGAAGCAGGAGTCTGTATACACATTCCCTGAAGAACCCTTTGTTTTCATCTTTCCTTTTTCGGCTTCCAAGTGCTCCCGTCACACCAGTGATTTGAACATTGCAGAGAAACACAATGGAGCGAAGGAGCCTGTATGCCCGGCCTTGTCAGCCCCTTAGAAGACCTGGCTTCTTCCCTGACATTCGCTCTGCGGAGCGGAGACATCCCTGTGCCTCTCTCCCTTATGGCCAGTGGCTTCCCCGGTCGGCTGGGGCATGTTAGCAAGGCATGCCCACCAAGGAGGAAACAGCGATTCTTAGGCCTAACGCTTTAAATCAAAAGCGTTTGATCCTTTTTACAACGGACCAGAATACTGCTGTTTCAGGAGGCTGACGCTTCCCATGGCAGGGAGGGGGTTATGGAGAACGTTGGTTAAGCTTATCGTATAAGATGGGAAGTGCCCCTGGAACTCTCGAGTGTCACTTCACCAGGCAGCATCCTGCCCTGAACGAAGCACAGCTGCACCCTCAGTCAGAACGTACAGCCCGGCCGGGCTGATCCAGGAAGCCAGCCCAGCCTAACAGCACGCAGTTTTCCTTGGAGACGGGCCATCTTCACACTGTGCCTGTGTCCCCTCCCAGCCTTCGTCCCTGCTCTCTACCCACGACCCGGCCTAGGGTGCCTTGGACGGATCTCTTGCCATTTCCTGCATTCTCTGCCGGAGCACTGATTGAAAATTTGGGTGGCCTTGCTTATTTATTTTCCTGGAATGCAGTGGGTTACATTTTCATGGTATTTTCTCAGCAGTGCAGCGTCTCCATTTCAAACTACAACAACAAGAAGAAAAGCCAGTCCCCGTCAGCACGCAAACACACAACAGAAAAGAAAGAAGTCCCGGGTTTGACTCGCAGTCCTGCCTTTATGAATTGTAACTAAATATAAGCCACCAGAGTCGCCTGCTTTTTTCAGGAAGCTAAAAAGACAAGTTCACTTCTTCAGGGAAAGGAGAAAGCGGTGATATGAAAAGTTAGTTGTACCATTGAACAACCATTTTAAACACCGAGTGTCTAAAATCATCATAAAATGGACTGGCTCTAAATTTTGGTCGGGTTAATATAAAAAAACTAAAATTAAAAAGGAGCTTGCTTCATCACTGTAGCACTGGGGTTTCACACTAATTTCAAAATGTGCATGTTGCACCAGCATTTTTTGTTAGGAATATGAAGGTCGACGGTGAAATATTTTATTTCTCAAGGTGCTACACCATGTCGCTCTAATAATCTACCACCACTATAAATTCCGTATTGCCTGACATTCACAGGAGGCTCTAGTTCAGTGGATTCATGTACAAACACAACTTTGGCAAAAATTAAATTTATATACCTGGCTTAGATAATTTACACCTTAAAACTGACTTTTGATTTCACCTTGGACGTATGCATCTTTAATTTCTAAACTAATACAGAGAGAATAAATTGTTAACATCCGATGCATTTTGCACGATATATATTTTTTAAAAGATTTAGAATGGTTGAAAATATGTACACGTTTAGTAGACTTCATTATCAAAGACGATTACTTTAATTCAATACCCTGAAAGTGTGTTCACGAAAGACAAAGACATTTCCATTTTTCTATCTTTAAAATGAGACTGAACCTAGGTCATTTTCTTAATCTCCAGAGCTACTTTTTCTTGGTTGATACGCATTTCTGTTATTGGCGTAATTGATGAGCTTGGTAATTGTACATCAATCTACCTTGAAATGGAAAATCATAAGAACTTTCTGTGGAGCAAAAGGTGGCCGTGTCTGTGAGCTGAAAGTAAAACCTGGAAAAACATATGTGGGCAACCGATTTAAGAAAGAAAAGAAACTTCATCTGTACATATTAATCAAAAAATTAATGGTATAAACTTGCTATTTTTAGTCACTTTTTATAAATTGGTGATAGCACTAAATTGTCAAACAATCAAATTCTATCTTTACATTTAACAAAACATGTAAAGGTACCTGACTTCTTGGCTGAAATAACTTATTAAGGCCTTACTGTAATTCATAAATAGAATTTTTTCCATGCATATTTTGCCCAAAAATTAAAGGTGTCAAAGAGGGGAAAAAATCTGCTTGGACTTTGTCAATATTGCCAAGCTGAAGCACTTATTTTGAATGTACCCGTGTGAGCTAAATAAGATAATTAGGGTTTTTCACATGATACTGCTCATGCATTTGAAATGCAGAATTATAAGATATGCTGCACATATAATGGCAATACTTTGTTTTTATAGCTCTTCATAGACTATGAAAGTATTTTTACATATGCAATTGAGATTCACAATGATTCTCTGAAGCTCACTTGTTTAAAAATATATTAAACTAAATAAGAAAAAGATAAAGGAAAATAAGTTTGTTTATTAAAAATATACACACAGTAATAGAACCGAGGATGAAAAATAGGAAATGTGTTGCAGTTTAAATAAAGAAGAGACTTAACCTTGGATGGCCCTGCAGAATATTTAATCCAGTACAGAGGAGGGTTCCTGCAGCAATTCCACTTTTCTGAGCAGTTTAGAAAACAAGCTAGAAAGCATTCATTCCCTTGGTAGATTAAAATATATTTAGCATTTTTTCTTTTCATTTAGCCTTTCTAAAATGAAAAGTTAAACGCAAATCACACTATTTGTGGCCATATTATTTTTTTCCCGGTCGTGAACCTCTGGATGTTTCTGTCTTGTTACATTAAATTACATCTTAAGAAAATAAATGACACCTGGGTTGTTACAGTCCGTTTGGCTGCTTGGGCTTTTGTAGATAAGTCTGAACAGATACGGGGAAAGGCATGTTTTACTATTTGTACAAAGTCTCAAAAAGTAAAAATTATACCTCTTCAATGTTTTCCACTATCATTTCCACTTTGCTAGGCTTAACAATACATTTTAGCAAGGCTGATGGTTTTCCTTCTGGGGTTGAAAAACTAAAATGTTTTCAAAGGAATGTACGTCACAGAATAAACAAGAGCAAAATCACTTTTTGTGACTTACCCTTTCCTGGTATGGCAAGGGGCTGCCATTTCCTTTCAACAGAGACGAACGAGGCCAGAGCACGTTTCACAATCTGTGCACAGACTCATTCACAGCTGAATCTAGGCATCGTCCAAAAGAAATTAATTTCTGAAATTTCAAAATCATGCCTCACAAAAATGCGAAGTCTAGGCGGGAGAATTTATATGACAGAGGGTGGGGCCACCACCTGCAGAGCACACCAAGGAGGGACAAGGTTGCTGAATGGTACACACACAAAAACAAAACAAAACAAAACAGGAAAGCGTAAGTATGAACTACCCTCCCATCTTTGCTTTCCCTTGAAACTTAACGACTTAGACAGAACGTTGGAGTCTATGTACAATGTGGGATAACAGAGTTATTGGATCTATGTATCAGCTTTCTCTGTTTGACGTTCAGCTGTAAACAACAGACAACTCACCTGATTTGGATTAGTTTATCTAAAGCATCAGGCACAATACACCAGGTTCCTGATTTCTTTTTCTTGGGAAAATACATTGGTTCTTCTAAACACTTTCTTGTAACAGATGCAGAAAGAGGTACTATAAGAGAGCAAGGTACCTCTCAGACCACCAGGCCTGTGGATCGGCCAGCACAGCGACGGTCAACTTACTGCAAGATGGGAGAGAAGATGCCTCGTGGCCAGGAAGCCCAAACCCTCCCAAACACAATTCTCCAGTTACACAATCCACAGACGATCTTAAGGCCTGTTGAAAGCAAAGGACTAGTGAACAATCCTCCTATGATGAGTGGTTCAGCCACAAAAGAGAAATGTGTTAATCAGAAAGAATGTTTTTAAAAATTCGAATGCCGCTGTCAGCATTCTTTTTACATAAAATTCTGTCGAAGACCTCAATTTACAGAAAAGATCAAAGAGATGTAGAGAAAACAAATATTTAAATTATGATTGATGAGAGAGAATGATGCAAGGTGGGTTAAAACGAGGCTAAGACCAATGGAATCTAAACATCCTAAAGGCCTGGAGCCCCTACAGCCTCTTCCCCCCAGTTCCTGACACCCACCGTTATGATTTCCGGTGGGACCTGTCCCCAGTTAGCTCACTGCAACTCTTATTGGTAGCTGCTTACCTCCAAATTCAGTTTAAGTTTTTGATTTTTTCTTAATAGTGTGTGTGGGTGTGGATGTGGACGTGGATGTGTGCATGTGTGTGGGTATGTGTACGCACCTGTGCCTATGTGCCTGTGAGCGTGGGCATGTGGATGTAGGAGTGTTTGCACGTGTATGTGCAGGCATGGTGTGCATGTCTGTATCTGTGTGTACCTGAGTGTAGGTGTGTGTTTGTGGGGGGTGGTGTGTGCATGTGTGCATGTGAGCCTGCATACGTGCATGTGTGTATCCATGCACGTGAATGTAGGTCTGCGTATGCAGGGGTGGGGTGTGCATATGTACATGCCTACATGTACAGATGTGCTAGAGGACAGTGGTGGGCAGTGACCCACAGCCCTCCCTTGGGCTACCTGCCAGGTGAGCCTTGCCCAAAGATGAGGTGGGAGGCCCTTTGAGCAGGGAAAAGTGACTTGTAGTTGCAGGAGGCCTGCCTTCATCTGCCACTGCCTTGACCTTCACCAAGAGTGAAAGCTGAAATGGCAAAGTCACGGAAGTTACTTGTTACTGCTTCAGAATAAACTTCCAGTTTTCCCAGGAAAATTTGTTCTGCTAAAAAATAATATAAAGGCGGGCTAGAAGGAAGAAAGGAAGAAGGGACAGAGGAACTTATAATCAGTTTATTGCCAGTTTTCTTCTCTGTCCACTTCCACTCTTTTTTTTTTTTTTTTTTTTTTGATCAGTTAACTAATAGTTCTCACTTGCCTGCTGTCAGCCATTTTTGGTTTTGTAAAATTATTTCTTCTTAATATTCAAGTGTGACTTTCAGGAAATAAAAAGGCACAGGAGTAATAATCAACCCTTATAAACTGAAGATGAATTTTTCATGCAAAAGGAATTTTGTAATTGACATCAGTTTCCTAATTGACGTCTGTCACCACCCTCATGTGCAGACTGAAGTGCTCGCTCCAACCCTGTGGAATGTTCTGGGGGCCATCATCCACTCAGTGCTTCCGGACACAGGCATTCCTGGACTGGCCATTAGGATCTCTGTGCAGTACGTGTACCACGGCCTGAGGAGAACTGGGGGTGTGTCCGTAACCAAAAATACACGGCAATTTTCACATCTGGGACTCCCATAATTTCTATCCATGGAAGAAGGCTTTCATCTCTAAGTGCTCCTCAGCAATTGGAAACTATTTTAAATTATAAATATTATTAGCAATTTATCAATAATATATTATAGATACGCCAAAAGGATGTCAGCATAAGTTCATTGATCAAAATTGCTAAATGTTTTTATATTCAGTTATTTCACATTGAAATAAGCAGATTGCTAAGACTTCATGGAAGTACTTCACTAAATGCTATGTTTTTATATCACAAAAAGCTTCTACAATGGGAAATACTCTAATTTCTACTTTAAGATGTAAAGGGGTTAGGTTTGTAAAAATTAAATTGATATTCCTATTAGTTTGTAAGCTAAGAAAACATGAAATTTCATTGAATAAACTAGAAAGACTTGATTCCATTAAAAACTACCTGCATTCTATAATTATGTTTTATAAGGTTAGTATTCCAAATTATTTAGGTTCATTAAATGTTGTGAAACATAACATTTCTAGTAACTTTAAATTTTAATATGTAGTTATTAGATTCCTAATCAGGAGGTACATACAGATTTCAAGCACTTTTCAATAATTAGCTATAATCATTTTACAAAAATAGTCATCATGATGTGTATTTAATTGTATACTTATCACCTGAAGCTTACAAGTGCCTACATAGTATTTCTACATATTTCCAATAGAAGTCTCAATAATATGTATGTGAATGTACACATATAATGTGAATTATAATATATATTTTTCGAGTATGAATAAGTTTGCATTAAAAGATGGAAAGATTAACAGACTATGGGGCACAACTAAAGTCGTGAGTTTATTCATCCTTGCCTTGTAAAAAGCTTAGTCGTGACAATAGCTTGTGCCTGGGACAATTTCTGCCCTCAAGTACTGCTTACATTACTGTGTTTACGTAAGCCTGACCAACAGGACAGAGCTTTTTTCAGTTCCACTAGAAATTTGCTGATTTAAGTATGTTAGAGTATGCTTGAAAAATAAGCAGGAAAGACAGATTCTTCAGAGTTTCAGTAGCTATTTTCTCCAACAGATTTTCTCAGGTAACTGACTTGTATCGGTCCCAACTGTAAACACTGAGCGAACAAGACCTGGCACAAAAAATAAAAAGACAAACCTGGATTTTCCACCGATTGTCCACACCTCCCGCCATTCAAAATATGCTTTCCTTATTTTGTTTTTCGAAAATTAATACTGCAATAATAATTCGTGTTATCGTGTCTCTACTTTAATAGTGGATTAGCCTAACTTGTAGAAAGCAAGAAAGAATGTGAAGAAAAAAGAACAATGCCTGGAGGGTAACAGGCAAATGTCAATATTTGTTGACTTGAAAAACAGTTGAGCTTAAATTACTCCAATGTCCATCCACAGAAGACCTCTCTGAATTAGTAGCTAGACAATTTGTGTGAACATAAACCTTCGTTGTGCTGTCCAGAATTGCACCGCCTCTGGGATCAGTGAAACACACATTTCTTAGACAGCTTTAAAGAAAAGAATTGTTGAATTGTTGTAAACCAAGAAAAGAAAGTAATGCGAAAATTCTGTAAATACAGAAGATGGACTAAATATGCGAAAGATTCCCCTCTGTTCGATGTGGGAAGCTGACTCGTCTCTTTCTGGAAGAGCATCCTAAATTCTTGGAGAATTAATTTATATTTTACTTCTCTTAAAGTCTGCCAAAACCCATTTGAGGGGCAAGGGCTGATACAGCCACACATTTCATTCCCTTTTTTTTTTTTTTTTTTTTCTTGGCTGGGGAGTGGGGGCAATATCTTCCTTTACATTGTAGAGTTTCTGCCCTGAAAATATGTTTACTAGCAAAATCACTGCCAAAACGTAAGAGTCAGTAGTTACCAGCATATTTATGTAAAGCAAGAGCTTAGAAAGCTACATGGCGCTGAGGACTTTTTTTCTGGATACTAATCAGCATCGTGCCTCGTCACACAGTGCCTAGTCATCGTTCCACTCGGCAGCGCGAGAGGACCAGTGCTGTGAAGCAATCCAGCATCGTCACCACGGAAAGCATGGTCTATGAATTCTAGTTCAAAACTGATTTTCCTAAAAACTGAAAATTTCCTTCTCAATGTGTTTTAACAAATACATGCTTGCAAACAGGCCACTGAACAGCAGAAACAATTATACTTGAACATATCCAAAACAAAACAATGTGCAGGAACAAGCAGCGGTGACTAGCATTTTCTTTCACAAAACGAAGTCTGCAGAAAGGTTTACCAGCCACTGAGGTGCCTTTCTAGGATTTAATTCTAATTATGTAATTGAAGAGAGATTCTCCATTTGTTCTCAAATAAAGCTCTGTTGAGAATCCTCACTAGTTGACAGTCCTGAAAAGCTACTGTTTATCAGAAGGAAAGCAGACACGTGTGCTTAAATCTATCATTCACGTCTGTGCATTCATTTGGGTTCTAATGAATGTTAGTGGGATGAATATGCATCCTGTCAAACGTATACATAAAGCATCACACAATACTGCAAATCAACAAACCCACATATCCGGCGTCAGAAAAAATGTGGCCAAGCTCAGGGAGAATTACTTAATGAAAAAACAGGAATTCAATAAAAATGCAAAATTGAAAATGCAACCCACATATTTACCATCATACTGTTTTCCTCTTTATCACTACACTTCACATCTAACCTATTGTGGTTTGGCTTTCTATGTCCATGATCTAGCCAGGGACTAAAAAGCAACGTTATTAGTTCTCGGAGCCGAGGCCGTTGGGGAAGTGTGGAAGTGGAAAGGACAGAGGAGCAAAAAGTGATAGAAACAGACAAGTACCAGCAATCTGCTTTAAGATCAGAGAAAGCAACCAAGTTCCCAGTTTAAAATGGATTGCCCTATAGCTAACACATTTAAAGAAGGAAGCATCTGGAAGAAAAAAAATCCTTTAATTGAATAGCAGAACAATTAGTGTGATCCACGACCACTGCTGGCATACAGAGTTATTTGGAAAAGCTCCACTACTGCCCCCCACATGTCCTGTTCTACACAGATGGCTAGATAGAGTCGCCAGAAGAGAAGGCCACACGGTTCAGCCAAGACTTGCTGCAGAATCGTTGTTTATTGAAAAGTGCAGCCGGGCACGGTGGCTCCTGCCTGTAATCCCAGCACTTCAGGAAGCCGAAGCGGGCAGATTACAAGGTCAGGAGATCAAGACCCTCCTGGCTAACATGGTGAAACCCGTCTCTACTAAAAATACAAAAAATTTGCCGGGCGTGGTGGCAGGTGCCTGTAGTCCCAGCTACTCAGGAGGCTGAGGCAGGAGAATAGTTTGAACCCGGGAGGCGGAGCTTGCAGTGAGCCGAGATCCGGCCACAGCACTCCAGCCTGGGCGACAAGAGCCAGACTCTCTCACAAAAAAAAAAAAAAAAAAAAAAAACCAAAGACAAAAAAGAAAGAAAGAAAAAGAAAAGTGCAGTGATGGGACTTTTGAGCTTACAGGGACTTTTGAGTTTCTCCTATCCAACCATCTTATTTTGCAAATGAGATAACTGGAATTCTCAAGAGGTCAGACAATCAGGGTCAATATCAGACGGGATCCAGAACGTAAGTCTTGAAATTTTCGATGTAATTTTTTTTTTTTTTTAAACCAACAGTCTTATATTGACTATAAGACTTGATTTTTCAAGGGCTGTGGATGTTTTTTCAAGGGCTGTGGATGTTTTTGTTTCTTCATTTTTAGTTTCTCACTGCTAAATATTTTTATTATTTTCTTTACCAGGTGTGAAAACGTAAATTTATACTCAAATTAACTGACTATGTTCTATGTTCTCATCTTTGTTACAAGGGCTCAGTCAGGAAGAACAAAGGTTCAGACTGTTGGCTAAAGTATGTCCTGAAAATTATCTTTAATCCTGCATGTACGCCTCGTCCTTCAGCACCACAGGGAGTACAAAGAGGAGCTCACAGGAGGCAACTACCTGCAGGGGACAGGACAGATATCCGGAGACCTCCACTGGAGAGTGGCCAGGACACAACTGGTGGGCACTTGGAGCTCACGTCCTGCACACCAGTGCATGCCATCGCCTTCAGAAATTATAGCGCCTGCCTGCGAGGGGAACGCAGCTCAGGTAACGTCTTAAGGGAAACCTACCAAACATGGAGGGTGAGAAACCTGCTGTTAAGGAGTAAAAAATATTTTATTGGGTTTGTGTGAAACCAAGGTACTCGCTGAGCAATGAAAAACTCAGATAAAATTCGTGTCATGTTAGATGAAAAGAAATGAGGTGTGATGACAGGCTCTGTACCTCGTTTCATATGCCAGGCAACCCTGGTGCTCCGGGGCAGTGGGAAGCCTTCAGCAGTGAGCTCAGATTCTGCAGCAGAGGCCAGAGGCCGGCACCGCGCCTCCCTCCGATGTGCGGCTGTAGCTGGTGCTTCTGCTCCGGGTGGGGCGCTGTGCCTGGACAGCGGAGGTGCAGAGTGGCAAGCCACCGGCTGCCCTAACACGCAGTCCACACGGTGCACCACCCATCAGTGGGTGAAATCGGGAAGATGGTGCCTTTCCCATGTCTTTTCTATGACTGCTGACATCACTGACAAAATGCAAATTGGCCTTGTTCCCACTGAATAAAGACCTTCAAATGGAGAATTCCAAAAGACAAGACAAAACAAACCACTCCCCCAAAAAATCAACCACCCACTCCCAGCTAGCAATTTCAGTTAAAATGCTATCATGCGGTCCGTTAGAAATCCTTCATTTAGAACATAAAGAGATCTAAAGTCTTATTCACAGAAAATCACATAATTAGGTTATTCCTGCCCTCTGCAGCTCAGGGCAGGGCTGGCAGGGCCGGGAGAGAACCCAGGTCCTTGCTAAGCAGAGACATTTCACATTCAGACCGAGTTGTTCCCTCTCTCCAGGTCCTGGGCTCTCCTATCTCTGGCAGCATGTGCCTCTCCTCAATGTCTCCTTTCCTTCTGGACCACCTACAGACACAACCCACTGCCAGAGACGCCCAGCTATAAACACAGGTGCAAAACACATCTGCATTATTGTGCTGCGCGGCAGCAGGACCAAATGGCTGGAGTAACACTATTGTAACGCCATATCCCTGCTGTAGAACTAGCTTTATTTACAATTTTCTTATTAAAATATGCAAATAGCAAGTAAATAGAAAACCACAGAGCTCTGTTTTGCTGTAAAACTGATTGGAGACATTTGACTCTTTTCAGGACTTTTGATATACAGAGCTATGAATATAAAAAGCTCTGAAGCCGACATAAAAGCAGCTGGTTAAGTCCACTTAAAGGCATTTGCTAGGAGCACGACCATAGTAAGATGAAGGATAAAACAAAAGGATGTAAGGGGCTTCCTTAATCAATAGGTCCAATCCAGGAACTGCTAAAAGAGTTGAAACTGTTGCAGTCCTGCAGAATTTCAAATTGTCCTGTGATCCTAAAACACAAAAGGCTCCAGCAAAGCGTGGCAATGCTGGGTGGTATGTGGTGAAACATCTCCATCGTTCGTTTATTGTCAAGATGTGTATATACCAAATTTTGCTGATAATTTTGTGTCTTTAAGTGGCCACTCAGCATATTTTGAACTAGACAACTGGAAATAGGCATCTCCTCCAACTCTGCTACTATCGTAATGTACTGTATTCTTATTTTATTTTTGTTTTTGAGGCAACGCATATTTATTGAGCATCTATTATGTGTAAGGCATGGATGAGCATTACAGCATCCCTCCTCTTACATTTATATTCTAGTGAGGGGAGAGAAATACTTTTAGAAAACAAACAGATAATACTGTATTTGCAGGTTGTGGTGAGTGCTGTTCCTGCATGGTCAGCCTGATGTACTGAATAACTGGGCTAGGAAGCTCTGGGGTATCTACAACAGTGAATAAGGCAGGAATCTGCAAGCATGGAATTGAGAGCCTGTGAATAACAGAAGGCCAAATAATCATTAGTCTTTGGTAAAAAGGATCTCTAAGATACAGCAAATTATAGTAGTTTTGAGGGTTAGGTTCTGTACTAATTATGGTTTACCACACGCTGATGTGCCGTACAATACAGAACACAAAAGGTGTTGATTTAAAAAAAATCTAAGAACAGGGAATTGTGTCTCTCCTAGTACTTCTAAAGACTGTTTCCAAAGGGATTTCATGCTTCAAAGTTATTCTTTCTCTCCAGGTCAAACAAAACCTGAGACAGAATTGAAAACACAATGCTATGCAATGACATTCAATTGCTCCAACAGCTACCACTGCAATTTTAGGTTTAATGATTTTATTTGCTGCCAACTTCTGCATATACTGCACTAATGTTTGCTAGCTGGTTTTGGAATTAGGACCAGAAATGTAAGAAAAAAGAAAGAAAACAACACCAGTACTCTTTATATTAACAAAAGAGTCTCTTTCCTCTTCTGAGTGCTTTTGTTTCTGGAATACAGTGTTATTTGTTATTTTTCTAAACCAGGAAAAATCTGTGTGTTCTCAAGGCCCATACATCCTGGCTTAATGGCAGGATCACCTAACCTGGGAAACGGCGTCACTGAGACCGACAGGGTTTGGTTTCACTGCGAAGGGGGCGCCGCTGCCAGGGATTTCTCACTTTATTTTTTTTCAAATGCTGCTGCCAAGCCTCGGATTCACATTTCCTAGTTTCCCCCTCGCTCTTTATAATTGATGATGCTGGGACAGTCAAGTGATTGCGTACGGGGGCCGTACTTCAACACATCCTCTGATAAAAAGGAGAGAACAATGAAGTCATGCTAGATTCCACATCACTTTTTTGTTCCAGGATGTATTTCCCTAAAAAGCATGCAATTCAGCACATAGATATTTGAGGCTGGGTGTGGTGGCTCATGCCATGGGAGGACTGCTTGAGCACAGGAGTTCGGGACTGGCCTGGGCAGCATAGCGAGATCCCGTTTCTACAAAGACAGCAGCAAAAATAACGAGGCATGGTGGCACACATCTGTAGTCCTAGTTACCCTGGAGGCTGAGGAGGAGCATCTCTTAAGCCCAGGAGTTCCAGGCTACAGTGAGCTAGGATCTCACAATTGCAACCTGGCCTGGGTGACAGAGTGAGACCCTGTCTCTAATAACAAATATATATATATTTGAATTGTAATACGTATAGGTTGTTTTTAGTCTGTGATAATAACAGCCTTGACTGGATTCCCCCAGAAGCTGACCCAGGGCTAGCATTTCACTTGGGAGGTGACAGCAGGAAAGAGCAGGAGGGGAGTGGGGAGGCCAATAAAGGTGTGCTGTGGGGCACTTCCCCGAGGGAGACTGAGGCAGCCTCCCTGGGACTCTGCCATGCAATGGAGCATGTGCAACCAGCCAAGCTACCCCCGCCAGGGGCAGCCACAACAGGGCATTTGCCCACCAACTGTTTGCCTGCCATTGGCCGAGGCCTTCTTCTGAATTAACTCTCCAGGGCTTCCGGCTTGCCCTGCTCCAGAAAGAAATTCCTCAAGCACAGACAGAGATGCAGGTGTTCCCAGAAAGCAGCCTTCAGTTGGGGGAATCTGGATGGGCACTGATGGCCTCTGCCACTGTCCTGCCTTGCAAGGCAGATCCACTGCTATAGATCTGTGTCCTGGCCCTGATTCCTCATCATGGTGTCCAGTCATACTTTACTGGGGGAGAAAACCCACCTCAGGAGGGTCAGCAGGTCGGGCTATACTGCCCACTGCTGCAGTTAGTTCTCAGGCTATAGTGATTTTCATCATCTTCCTTAATCGCCCGGCTCGGGTCTCTTCACCTGCAGCTAGCACTTCTGTGTCCCAGGCTGCTTCCTCGACAAAGTGACCCAGACCTTCTTCCCTGTGAGGTCTGGCCTTTGGTTATCATTCCTCGTCAGGCCAGGGTTGCTGCATTGCCCGTCTACTGGTATCACCAGGCAAGGAAAAGATGCCCAGTGAGTCCCCTGCATTCCAGAAATAATCCTCCCTCCTGTGTCCTACTCATAACCAGGACCAAATTTTGTTGCCTGGGATCCATGAGGATCCCAAATAAGGAGAGGCTTTTAGAGTTAGTGAACCTTGTGCCACCCAGGAGAGCATCTTCTGCACATCCCAGGGGCCAGGACTCCAGCTACTGGGGATGCAGCACCATATCCTGATATTAGGTTCTGAATATAAACGGCATCCCACAGCACAGCTTCCAACCCCACTGGAGCGTTCGCTGTGCCTTTGTGGGGCCATGCTGATGTCCTATCAGGGTGGCAGTTCGG